GTGTTGATATGGTTTAAGGAACTTCCAATAACTTGAAAGCAAAATAAATCACCATTTCCTTCTTCTTTTTTCCTCTTAGATGGTGGAATTGCCTCTCTGTCCATGTGCTGATCTCGGGCTGCAGGGGACTGTCAGGCTGTGAGTTTGTGTTCTTCTCCCTGGGAAACTGGAAATAATTACCAGTCAGGTTTCAGAAATGTTTTCAGAAGCCTTTGCCCTTTTCTCTGCCTTTGGCTGATAGATCTCCTCTTTGTGCCTTTGGCTTTGCAGCTTTTCCCTGGTGTCATTTCCCTGCCTGAGCTGGCTGTGAGTTGGTGGTGGACGGCGAGGCCGGAGAGAGTGAGCGGAGGAGCCTCGGGCTGGAGAGGGGCAGGAGAAAGGCCCTGTGGGCAAAGGGACCTCCCTGTGTGCCCAGGGCCCTGCAGGGGACAGGATGGACACTCTGGGGTCACTCTGAAGGGTGAGTGGAGAGCGTGGAGACAGAATGTGAGTTCACCTCCAGGGAATAAATAGGGGATGTTTGTGAGAGAAGGGCTGAGGGGTTTTGTCGGGAAGAGAATGCCCAGTTTTGGGGTAACAAAGATAAAATCAGTTCTGTAGAGGAAGGAGAAAAGTGGGGGTGAAACTGGATGTTATTTGCAGGGGAGAGAATGAGCATTGAGAGGTGCCCTGGGGCAGTCAGCAGTGGGCATGCAGGGAAAGTTCTGAGAGTAAACTTGCAATAGTCTCTAGGGTAAGGATTGAACATATTTAGGTATCAAGGAGGTGATTGGATGTGGAGAGGTAGAGAAATTTTGGGGGTTAAAATCTGGGGCAACCTGTAGCAGAGAGAATGAAAATATTGTGCAAAAACAGAGGTAATCAGGAGTGGGCTGGAAGGGAAAGTGGGGATGTAATAGGAGATAGTATCCATGGTAGAGAATGACGATTTGGAGGTAAAACTGAAGTAATCAGCAGTGGACAGGCAGGGAAAAGTTTGAGGTAAAATGTGGGGCAGTGTGTAGCAGAGAGAAGTAAGATTTTGGGGTAAACTGAGGCCATCAGTAGTGGGCAGGTAAGGAAGGTTCTGAGGGTAAAACTTGAGAAAATCTCCAGGGTAGGAAATGAAGAATTGGAGGTTAAAAAGAATTAATCAATACTGTGAAGGTAGAGAAAATTGTGGGGGTTCAATCTGAGGTGATCTGTGGGGGAGAGAATGAAGATCTTGTGTTAAAAACGAGGTGATCAGTCATGGGCTGGAAGGGCAGGTTTTGGGACTTAAAAAGGAGGTTGATTCTCTGCAGGGAGCAAATGAACCTGTTGAGGTCAACTGAGGTGATCAGTGGAGGCCATGTCTGGCAAATGTGAGGTGTTAAAGTTCAGGTACTGTGGTGGGCAGAGACTGAGTGTTTGGAGGTGAATTGAGGTTCTCAGCCGTGGGCAGGGGGGATGTGGAGGTGTCAGGGAGGGCAGGGGGGCTGTGGAGGTGTCAGGGAGGGCAGGGGGGCTGTGGAGGTGTCAGGGAGGGCAGGGGGGCTGTGGAGGTGTCAGGGAGGGCAGGGGGG